ATGCTGAGCGTGGCTGAGCGGTCGCTGTTGCTCACTGCTGAAACCCGTGGCTCAACATTCAACATCTTTACTCAAATTGTGCCTGATCTGCCCGTTTAATAATGCATCGCTTGGTTTTTTGTTATGTTAAAAAGCTGCTTTTTGCTCTGTTTGCAGGACTGTAATGCCGTGTGACACTCGTTCCCTGCAGTCCCGCCTGTGGCCCGGAGACAGGAACGCCTCTCCAGTGATTGACAAGGACAAAAAGAGATGTGATCCCATTTATGTTTCTGAATCGTCAACCGCAGCAATGGGAGACGGGAATGACAGCTGGGACTGTAACTTTGAGCGTGAGAGGTAAGGACTTCAACGAGACGATCGTGATCACAATCCAGGAACGCGATCAAGGCGAGAAAATCTTGTGCTGAGGATTTTAATTATTTATCAGGACACTGTGTTCTGTTCTAACGAAGAGAGTGTTAAAGCACCAAACTCTCATTTCTATACACACATTACCTTCTTGCCTTTAGCTTTCATAGCTCAAAGGTGCAAATGTCGTACAGCCCGGGTTCGTCGTTTACCGGCCATTCAGAACTTCAACTACTCAAAAGAAAACATCAGAAACAAACCAGATTATCAAACTGCTTAGACTGAAATATATTTATTATTAATTCTGCATCACTGAATCGCTTTCAGTTTTACTGGTCAAATAATTTTTTGCAGATGCCATAAAAAAAAAATAAAACAGAAAAAAAAAAATTCTTTGAGACTTTTTTTTTTATTAAATACGATTTATTTTGTTGTTTATTTTGTTTGTTCACTCTGAAAATTAGCGGACAGACTGTCCATCGCACACAAGTGTTATTCTATACTCGCGCGTTATTCAGTACTCTCTGTATTCTGTTCTCACTCTTTATTCAGTACTCTCATTATTCTGTACTCACTCTTTATTCAGTAGTCTTCTCATTCTGTACTCTTATTAATTCTGCATCACTGAATCGCTTTCAGTTTTACTGGTCAAATAATTTTTTGCAGATGCCATAAAAAAAAAATAAAACAGAAAAAAAAAAATTCTTTGAGACTTTTTTTTTTATTAAATACGATTTATTTTGTTGTTTATTTTGTTTGTTCACTCTGAAAATTAGCGGACAGACTGTCCATCGCACACAAGTGTTATTCTATACTCGCGCGTTATTCAGTACTCTCTGTATTCTGTTCTCACTCTTTATTCAGTACTCTCATTATTCTGTACTCACTCTTTATTCAGTAGTCTTCTCATTCTGTACTCACGCTTTATTCAGTAGTCTCATTATTCTATACTCACACTTTATTCAGGACTCTCGTTATTCTGTACTCACACTTTATTCAGTACTCTTGTTATTCTGTACTCACGCTTTATTCAGTACTCTCGTTATTCTGTACTCACACTTTATTCAGTACTCTCATTATTCTGTACTCACTCTTTATTCAGTACTCTCGTTATTCTGTACTCACTCTTTATTCAGTACTCTCATTATTCTATACTCATGCTTTATTCAGTACTTAAGTTATTCTGTGCTCACGCTTCCTTAAGTTCAAGGTAGCACTCCAGAACAATGAATCTACTCAGTAGTGTAAAGTTCACTTCAAGAGTGAACAAAGTGGCATCAGTGAATTTGAATTTAGGTGTTTGGAAAAATGCATATTTTTATTTATTGTTATAATTATTATTTCATACTAAATGCAAGCCAGAATTTTTTTTTACTGAAAACAGAATAGACTATTTTCAGGTGTTCATATACACTTACAGAAAACTGTGTGTTCACACTTTAAAGATGTTTCCAATTTGCGAGGTTCTTTAATCAAACGTAAACCACCAGTATTTGCTAGTGAGTTGATATGTGTTACTCGCCATAGTAGATTTTCATTTCTAAACCTGCTTACAGCTGTGAAATATATGACTGCTGGAGTGATGAGGTGCAGCTTGATGAACTTATGATGAGCTGTCTGAGCAGTTTTAATGAGAGCTGATTAAGTCATGTATGTTAACAGCTGAGCGATGACGTCTCTACGCTTTAGTTTGTGTCGAGGCCCAAAAGGACACTGTTCAACATCTGAAATCAACAGACAGGGACAGACGTCAGGTGCACATATACAGAGCATGAAGCATTAGCTGTTCATCACCATACACATGAGAGAGGAAAACATGAGTAACAACAAGCATTTCACTAGATAAAGCTGATGATGAGAGCAGAGCATTTCCATTTTTCCCCATAGCTCTTCTCTTATACACACAGAAAGATGAAAGGTGTAAAGGTCAAATTAAGGTTGTCTGGCTACATGATCGGTCTCAGATGATGATGGTGTTACAGTGAGAATGATGATATTTATTTTAAGGTGTTCTTGTTACAGTGTAATTATACATTTAAGTACTGAGTTATATTAATTAACTGCATGTACTTACTATATTAGGGTTAGGATTAGGGTTTGGCTTAGGGTTACTTGCATGTCATTTATTGTTATTATAATAGTAAGTACATGTAACGTGTAACAATAACACCTTAAAATAAAGTGTTACCAAAAAATATATATTGACGCTCTAAATTTGAATCATTAAATCAAAGTAGTTGCTGTTTGTGTGAAATGACTGAAATAAACTCACTGAACCCATGAAGAAGTCTGTGAGCAGTTAGTTAGAAGCTCCAGAGGATCCTGTTACTCTGGCCGGAGTGAAAAATGATGAAAAGAAACGCTTCTGTAAAAGTCTTCGATGTGATCAGAAGGTGTTGATGAAGAAGCCAGAAGAAGACTTCATCACAAGATGAAGTGTGTGTCAGTGAGACGCTTCTGCCCCCTGCAGGAGAACAGCACTGTTATCAGCAGATCCATCGCTGAAGACCACTGACTGCCAGAGAGCATCGCTGTTACTGATCTGAGGTCAGAGACACCAACTCCTGCTGTAAGTTTAATTTAATACAGTGGTACTGATGAATGTTCATGTTAAATAAGACAAATATTGTTGAAAATTCTCATATGGCGGCAACTAAAGCAATAATTCACTGTAAAGAATGAAAGCTAAACTGCTGATGCAGTCTGTCAGAGAAATGAAAAATAACACATTGTTCACTAAGACTTTATTTGGCTGAACTTTTTTTTTTTTTTTTACTCATTAAAGAACCGGGTAAAGGTAGACAGTAATCGCCTTTTGGTGTCTCTTTTAAACATTTAAAATAGTTAGTATTACAAAGCTTTAGGAGGATGGTCTGTCAGGAGCGGATGAGAATCACTAAAGCTTCAAAATTCAGACATGATCGAACCTTAATATGGGATTTGAGTGAAAATATTCTCTTGATTATGATGCTTTATTGGTGGCGGTTCTGTATCTGTACCTGAACTAAGACCGTGACTGATTTGCTCTTTACATTCTTTTTGTTGCTTTTGTAAACCATTTCTACACACGAACAGTTCAATCACTATGTGAAATGAGTTTGATCTGAAATAAGCCTCTTTTCTCTTTTTTATTCTCTTTTTTTTGCCAGGTAATTCTCTGGTTTTGACATTTGCACTCTGTTCGTGTGTAGAAATGGTTTAGAAAAGCAACAAAAAGAATGTAAAGAGCAAATCAGTCACGGTCTTTAGGACTGAACGCGGTGGAAAGTGTAATCTGGGTAATGGGCAAAAGTCTAGTTAATTGCTGACTGTATTGTGCTTAAACTGTTTATGATATTTCAGAGGTAAAAGAGAACTGCTGAAGGTGTGCTATAGCTGTCATCAACCCATTAAGTTTACCCAGTGTCAGATTATGATTGTAAACTCACTATCAGTCAGTCGCTCTGCTGTTACATCCAGGAAATATCAGTCTTTTGGTAACTGTGTGTTTGGAGAATATGTGTTTAGTAGGAATGATCTCAAATGCTAAATAATCTTTTTCCTGAACTTTTGATTTGAAGTCCATGACTAGTCTTTATTAGAGCTTTGGAAATATTGTTGCACTCAGATGCTGAAGTCATGTTTGTTGTCTGATGATCTGTGCTTAAATCTGAGTGTTTTGCAGATCCTCCGTCTGTGGACCGGCTTTCACGCGCTGCAACACAGACGAGCAGAACAGACAATGACCGGAGGCCACAGCTGTGTCAAAAGTTTACATACACCTTGTACAATCTGCAAAATAAGATATTTTACAAAAACAATGATTACATATAGTCCACAAGACAAAATAATAGCTGAATTTATAAAAATGAACCTGTTGATAAGTTTACACAGGGTTAATTTTTGTAATACTGTCGTTACCTAGATGATCCCCGACTGTTTGTTTGCGATGGTTGTTTATGGGCTCCAAGTTTGTCCTGTTGCTGTTCTTCAGGAAAATCCTCCAGGTCCTGCAAATTCTTTGGTTTTCAACATCTTTTGCCAAGTTAAACCCTTTCCAGCAGTCACTATGATTCTGAGATCCATCTTTTCACACCGAGGACAACCGAGGGACTCCATTATTACAAAAGCTTCAAACATTCACTGATGCTCCAGAAGGAAAGAAAGTGCATTAAGAGGTGGGCTATATGTATTTATAAAAACTTTTGCAGATTCAAGGTGCACGTAAACCTTTGACCACAACTGTGCGTCCTAAGTGTTACTGAATTCACAGTGAAGTGAAATCATTTGTTTCTGCAGCACATTCGCTCCCATCAGAAGTGCTGTTTGTTGAGTGTTGTGCTTGTTAATTTGTGGGTTTGTTCACTCAGTATGAAGCACATGCACATACACACAAACTCTCAATCTGTTGCTTTGGCCTTCAGTGGTTCTCTACAGAGGCTGTGCACAGCAGATGAGCACACTTTTTATTTGAACATTATTAGATGCAAATGTCCTGTTGGAAGAATATTTTAGGAGCCTGTCAGAATGAAACTGTTGGCTTAAATATTGTTCATTGAAGGACATATTTATTGCAGTTCTGTTTCTAATTGTTTTTCTTTCCCCTTTAAAACTAAACTCATGCTGAATTGAAACACGTGCTGTGTGTGTTTGTCTGCAACAAAATGACAGAATAAAAGCAGGAAATAAAACGTGCCCTAAACATTACACGACGAGGGGACCGGGCTGTAGTGTTTAAGGAGGAAGAAGACGAGGGAAGAGGTGTTTCTGCAGGCCCTTTCTCTTCTTTCATTATTTATTTCCTTATTAACTGCGATCAAAACATTGATGGTCGATCCTCCGCCGCTGAGCTCGAGACCCGCGGAATATCGTGCAGTCTTTCTTTCACGTCTGTGAGTGTGTGTCGCGATGGCTCGCCCACGGCCCCGGGAATATAAAGCTGGAGACCTGGTTTTCGCCAAGATGAAGGGATACCCGCACTGGCCGGCGAGGGTGAGTACGAGCTGCAGCCGAGCGGAGCGGCGCGGAGGCCGGTCACCGGAGCGCGGGGCGGCCGCTGCACACACGAGCAAACACGGGCCGAAACCGGGGGAGAGCGAGCATAATGCACCGCGTTTTTCATCGTGTTTCTGTGCGTACTGTCAGATGATCCGCTCTCTTCTCGTCGTTCGGGGCTCTGCGTCATTTTAGACGTTTATGAAGTGTTTGACTCTTGGGACGGGTCCGGTTCGGAGGTGTGTTGGGTCTGTTGGTGTGTGTTTGTGCCGCTGATGGTGTTATTGGGCAGCAGCTGTTCCTCATCTGGGCCGTAAAGCGACGGTTTGGCCCGCGCGGGACCGGAACCGAACTCCTCCGAACTCGAACCCGCGGCAGTGCGGAGCGAACCGGTGCGTGTGTGAGATGATCTGGGCCCAGATCAGCGTTTTAGCTTCATTTCGGTCTCTGATAGTTCGGGACGCCGTGAGATCCGCTCTGACGATTTGTGCTACCCGCTCAGATTGTGCTACCTCCCGTTAAACAGATCGGTAGCGCAAATCGATAGCAAAAAAATGCTACCCGTCAGGTTGTGCTACCAGCATCTTGTGGTTTGAGGCTTTTTTAATGTCCATAACTAACCCTACCCTAAGACTACCCAGCCATACCTACCCTTACCATAAACGTTTTATTGCTTAAAACAATGCAAATATATTTTTGGTACAATCTGATGGGTAGCATGTTTCATCGGTACACCGGATCCACAGAGTGCTTTGAGTCTCACAGAGACGCATTCTTAAAGACAACAAGCGTGTAAAGCGCCCATAATGTGACATGAGGTAAAATGCATAAGTTTAACTGGACGAGAGCCAATCTGTAGAATTCTGGATGAAAACCCGTGTAAAACTGTCATTCAGAATAATGTTCCTGATCAGAGTTGAACTGTGTTTCCTCCTAATCGTTTAGATCGACGAGCTGCCGGAGGGAGCAGTGAAGCCGCCAGCTAACAAATACCCCATCTTCTTCTTTGGTACCCATGAGACGTAAGTCTGGAGTGTGTTTGTGATTCAGTGATATGTATAAAGCAGCAGTAATCAGCGTGTGTGTCTCCACAGTGCCTTCCTGGGCCCTAAAGACCTGCTGCCCTACAAAGAATACAAAGACAAGTTTGCCAAGTCGAACAAGAGGAAAGGGTTTAATGAAGGCCTGTGGGAGATCGAAAACAACCCTGGCGTCAAATTCACTGGTTTCCAGGTGAGTAGAGCAGCGGCGCGAGCCCGTCTGACCGCACCTGCGTCCATCTGACCCACACCTGTGTCCGTCTGACCGCCCCCGTGTCCATCTGTCTGACCGCCCCCGTGTTTGTCTGACCCACACCCGTGTCCATCTGTCTGACCGCCCCCGTGTCTGTCTGACTGCACCTGTGTCCATCTGTCTGACCGCACCTGTGTCTGTCTGACTGCACCTGTGTCCTTGTGACCCACACCTGTGCTTCAGGTGATGCAGCAGCAGAGCTCGTCTGAGACTGAGGGAGAAGGAGGGAACGCGGCCGATGCCAGCAGCGAGGAGGAGGAGGAGGGCAAGATGAAGAGCGACAAGGTCGGATCCAAGCGGAAAAAAAGCGCATTCTCAAAGGTACCTGAGCGGCATTTGAACTAGGGGTTGACCGATATGTGCTTTTCAGGGCTGATACCGATTATTACAGATCAAGTAGACTGATAACCAATATTTTGGACTGATATATAGCTCTGGTGTAAAAATGAAAATTCATGTCAAAATTAAGGCAAAAACTGCCTTCCCTGGTTTTGGTTGAGTGTAGTACTCCCACACTGCACTTCTTACTCTTGTCTTCCTCTGTGCATCCATCTACAATAAGGGTAATATAAAGAGAGAGTTAAAAGTGGGGCCACTGTATGCTTCACGATTAAGCCTATGAATACTGTACTACAGCTAAACCGCTTGGGGAAATGTAAGTATCTGGTTTCAATCATTTCCAAGTTAGAAATATATGTGTAATAGCATAACCTCATAATTCTTCATGAATTATTTTCTGATGACCAATTCATCATCTAATGCACATGAATGGATTAACTTAAAAAATCACAATGTAATAAGTGTAAATAATTTAATTGTCTTCATAGCTCCATAGTAGAAGTTGTTAAGAAGACCGCAACTATCTTCCTGAAACTATAACACTAATAGCCTATTATAGACACACTTAGTACAATAGCTTATTAAAATGTCTCAATTTTTGCCATCCTAATCTTGGCCTTGACGCTATTATTTTATCCATTTTAATTTACAGTACAGTGCAAATGGCATAAAATGAAGGCATAAAACATTCATTTAATTTATCTTTTAATCAATTATGAGTTAAACTTTTTATTTTTTGGCAAAAAAAGGGTTTACTGTTAAAATTAAAACATGGAAGAAATGGCGTATTGTGGGATTATTCTTTTAAACAAAAGTTGTACAAATTTCAGGCTCCAGGTCAGTAGGGGGCAGAATATGCACAGGATCACACAGTGAACCGGTGTGTGAGATACAGACGATAGGAAATGAGGCCATCATACATCATAGTGTCTGAGAGCAGAGATCTGTTCTTCACACTAATGACGCGACTGCATCCGCTCACCTGAGTCTGCGTCTCTGCTGAAGCAGCCTGTGAAGTGAGTGTGGATCTGAGCATCCCTCTCGCCCAGCCCTCGCTTAGCAACAGCTGTTGCCTAGCAACACAGTCCCGCACGCTCATATATGTAGTGAAGGTTAGCGAGCTACTAGCGTTGCGGCGTGACGCACCTCAGATCCCGCAGCAGCACAGGTGTGAGAATGAAGCCTGTTTTCACTCTGACCTTCTCCTAGATGTCGTCCAAGCTGTCCAGGAAGGGTTCGGATGAAGATCTGGAGAAGGATGGCAAAGATGAGCAGAAGAGCGGCTCAGAGGCTGGTGACCATGACAACAACATCCAGAACTCTTCAGACAAGACGTGCAGTCAAGGGGTAAGAGCAATTAACAGGAGACGATCTTCTTGATTTCATCATCAGGGCACCTGTACTTCTACAGCAGCTGTACAGCGTTCATCAGGACAGAAGTGATTCAGTAATGCAAACGGCAGTGAGTTCATCAGGGCCGTCGCATAAATATTTGGCCACTATGTTAAGACTCTGTCTTAAGAACTAGTTTGACCAACATGATCCGACTTCATTATTTGTATTCAATTTAGACCATTCTCCCTATTTATAACTGTTTAAGTTAGACGACTAACTTTTTAAGACTAGTCTAAGGCCCCTGATTTTCATTTATATCCATGTTATTATGCTTCATAAATACACAATAACTGGCAAATAAAATCCTGCCTAAAACCAGTGTGTGAGGAGCAGAGAGTCGCTGCTGTTTGACGGACGAGCGTGGCGTCAGGGAGGAATATTCCTCGATTCTAGCCGTTTCTCAGCATTAGAGAGAGAGTGAATGAAGTCCATGTGTCACAGCAGAACGGTGAACGTGATTTCAACAAGTACAACATGTTCCTGGATCAACATCCCAATCAACCAATCAGAATTGAGGGATAAATTTACAGGAAATATCTGTTTTAGGGTTAGGTGCTTTTGCGCCCTTGTTATTCAGCTATCATTTCTCTCTGATGTAGGGTTAGGTCTCTGTTTTGGACCGTAATATTGTTCCAGGATCAACAAAAGATGTTAGATCCAGGAACGTGTCTGACTTGGCAAAGTCACAGCAGAACGAGTGTCTGACGGCTGCTCTTCTCTCTTCCAGCAGAATCTGTCGCTCCGGGAGGATCACTAGATGATCGTCGGACTCCGGCTCATGACGCTGATATGTGATATTGTAAATGCATCTTATTACGCTGATCGCTTGCAAACTCCCACACATTATTATCTGGTTCAGTCAAACACACACACACACACACACACACACACGACCGTCATTCCTCTCTGCTGGTTTGGTTTAGAGTTTAGCTTTAATCTCGGCAGCGAACGTTCAGATCTCTGTCATTCCTCTCCTGTCACGCTACAGATTTCCTTCTTTCACAATGAACAAACACCTTGTAGGTCAGACGTTCATTTGTTAAATGACTTGGCCATCTTTAACGCTTTTACATAATCAGAGAAAAAAGAGTGGAAACTGTAGAATCCGTATTAAGTTTTGTGCACAAACAGAGTCGCTGTAACTCCATTTATCTCTGTACATTTGATTCTAGGAGCTCTGTACTATTATCCCGATGCTAGAGGTACTGCTCATCTTTTTAAGACGTGAAATATCCGTTCGTGTGTCAGTGGGTTGGTTGTTTTCTAGACTTTCTAGTGGCATGCTGGCTTCTGTTTCCATTCCGTAGCCCCATTCTGTTCTGATGATGTTCTTCTGTCCGTTTCGTCAGACGGCGCCGATCCCGTCCTCTTCCCGACGGAAAACGTGCCCTTGATTTGTTACCTTTTTATTTCTTATCTTTGTTTATATAAAGAATATATTCTATTTATTTTTGATGATAGTAGATGACTCATCTGTGGTAAATTCGCACTCACCAATGTGGTTTTCATTTCGTTCCAATTTTTATTGCCCTCCTACATGTTGCATTTTCAAAGTTTGTAGCTACATGTAAACTGTTTTTCCTGTTTATTGACTAGAATTTTACAGAATAAACTCATTGGAATGCAAGTGTCTTCTCTGCCGTGTCTTTATGTAGTAGTGCTCAGTTATGTCAAACACACTCACACACACACACACACACGTACAGTAAAAACCCGATGTCCAGGAGTCCCACGCAAACGACTGTCATTCCTTTGCTGTTTTGATTTAGAGCGTAGCTTTAGCCTCTGCGGCAGACGTCGTTTTTAGGGCCAAATGTTAATGTGGCCAAAGGTTGTTTTGACAGATTGAATCGTTCTTATTTAATGCATCAGAATTTATTTTTGGCTGGTATCTTCTGAATTGTTTGGCCTTAAATAATGAGCCTGGTCTTTTTGGGGGGCAGAGTTGAATGATACCCAGTGCTTCCCAGTCATTTTGCACATTAGCAGTTTTTTTCTGTAAAATGAGTTTTACGAATGCGTTGACATCATGAAGAAGCTTGCTTATGTGTCATTGGCATATGGGTAGTTATGGATGCTATGTGTGTGTATATATAGATATGCACAACATATGTTTGAAAATTAATTTGCTGTTTTTGATTGATTTGAGAGTCAGCTGAATTGTCTGTCCACCGGTTTGAATTTCATTGCAAACATACATATTCACCACATTTGGCTCAGATCGTTATCAGACCATGATGGCAAAAAGTTGTTTTAATTCTTTTTGATATATCAAACCATTCTCAATTATGGCATCTTGATTGTAATAATAATAATATATTATGTGACTATATCAAAGCAAGTCTCTGGTAAAAAGCCCTTGTTTCTAGAGCATGTGAACACAGTAAGGGTCACTCATCAGAGCTGTGTGTATTTTGTGTGTGGAACTGTAGTAAATGTGCTGCTCCGATGAACTCAATCATGGTATTAATTTATTATGATTATTCATCATTAGGAGAATGTGTACAGTGGTGTTTGTCCAGTGGTCATATTTACAGTTGTGTATGGAGACACGTTTTGCATTTTGTTGGAGAACTATTTTATTTCTCCACATTTGTGAAATGAGGTATTTCAGCCTCCTGTTCTTCTCAGTGATGAGAGAAACCTGACAAAGTTCTTGATTAGCTGAATTGATTCACAAACCATGTTTACTGGTTCTGCAGTTGATCACAAGGATGAAGCTGATCCACTGTCTGATCATCTGTAAAGTTCTCTGTAGTGAAGAGCGCTGCAGATCCAGCCGGGATTCACTAGTTCAGTGTTTCCCAACCGGGGGTGCGTCTGTCGAGAGCAGGGGTGCAGTGTAAAAAAATCCTTTTTTAATATTTTTAAATTGCTAAAATCTTCAGAAAAGCATCTATTATATAATATAAATTTCTGATGTCGCCAATAATTAGAAATGCACCAGAAATTTCGGCTGCCGAAAATTAGTTCACGGCTCAGGGTTCACTTTCACGTGGTGTGCCGCTCTGCGTATTATCCGCTCTATGTGTGCGCTCCGCTCAGTCGCTCCACTCGTGTACCGCTCATGCTCATCGGAACAGAAGTCCACTCAAACATTGAGCCGACGGGACACATGGATGCAGTACAGTATTGTTTCTGTCTGCAATAGCCCTACTGTGTGTAACATGGTGTGGTTTATGAGCAACTCTGGTAACGCTGCCCTCTCATTCATTGATTTGCTAACCGCTGTGTTATGCTCACGTGTTCTGATAATAATAGCTTTCTAGGACTAAACATTGTTTGGATAATTGGTAAAAAAAAAAAAAGTTAAATCTTAACCCTACTGTTAGACCTACCTGAAAAACTAAAAAGCAATTTATTTAAGTCGAAGGCCTGTCATTATTTTTTATTTGTGCTATCATTATTAATTTCTTTATTTGTGCTTCTTTTATTACTGACTGCTTACTTGTCATTTTTTATTCAATTCAAAGTTTGAAATCAAGCTATCTCATGCTACTGCACCAAAATTACCCCACTGTAAAATAAAATAAAAAACACTGAGTGAGCAAAACTTTGTGAGATAGCTAGTGTTGATGGTAATTAAATAAAATAAAAATAATTTTAAAAAAGCCTATATTAAAATCTGTCAAATAAATTGGTCTCTTCATTAGAAATTAGCCTACCGATTGCCACCATTGATGGACACAATTTTTTTTATATTAAAAATATCTGCATGACATTATAATCTGCAGTCCTTCCGTTGTACCGAATATCTATACTTTTCAAATGATCATATCAAAGTTAGAAATTCAAATATTGTGACAAAATTAATTTTGTAGGGTGCCACAAGTTTGTTAAAATTTCCAAAGGGTGCCGCGACTAAAGAAAGGTTGGGAAACACTGCACTAGTTGGCACTGCAGTCCTAGAAATGCTCCAGTCTCAGCAGAAGTAGTACACCGACATACAGTTCTAGTGTGATTTTATCTAGACAGACGTGTAACAATATTAAAGAGAGCAGGAGATAAGTTAGTCTTATTCTGCATTCTTTTATACAGAATATTATATTTACAATAAAATTAGTCATGTTGGTAAAGTCAATCGATGTCCAGAAGGCAGACGTGATCGATCTGAAATCATCGAGCTGCCACACACTAAACCAGTCTCTTCTCATTCTTCATGCAGTATTTATTGTTCGTAACGCCTGTGAGACTGTTTATGTATGATTCTTCTGTGCTTCTGCTTTTCCTTTCAGTTGACTGTATTTCTGTGACGTGCTGCTTTAGAGGATAAAAATAGATGAACATCAGCCACACGCACCTAAACACACTCTCCTCTCACACACACACACACATGCTCTCTCTCTCTCTCTCTCTCTCTCTCTCTCTCTCTCACACACACACACACACGCTCTCTCTCTCTCTCTC